TCTGAGACACACAGCAGGAGACAGCATGGCCTACCACTGTGCAAGTGCTATCTATCTAATGCAAGGGAAATAAACTGTTAACTCCCTGAAGTTTGGGGTTTTTCTTGTTGTTTCAGTTGTAGAAATCCCCTTCCCTCTTTCTTTTCAACCCTGTCAGCCAAGCAGCTCAACAATGACCCCAGAGAAGAAATTTTGTTATTGGTTCTTCTGCCCCCCCCCCCAACAATATAAATTCAAAAGACAGGCTCAGGTGAGGGAATGGAAGCTGCTGTTAACTCCTGCTTGCCGGCTTGCTGAAAGAAACACGGTCCTCCAAAATGCAAATGCTCTCTTGATGCAGTTCGTTACACCCTGGCACAGAAAACGAACTTTGGCAACGAGATGAACCTGCCGTAGAAGTGGCAAGAAGCAGGCTCTCACCCAAGCAGTTACTTTCAGCTCTGCAGAACCAGTCTTTGAGCAAAACAGCCAGATCTGCTGTAAAACAAAGGCCAAAACATTACACAATACCTAAAAAAAAAAATCCACTCAAAGAAGGGGGCTCTAGAAAGAGTTTGAGTGAAACGGATGCTGTTTTCTCATGGCCCATAAACCTGCAGACTGTACATCTTCCTTGCTCAATATAATTTATTATTTCTCTTAACCTTTCACGCTAAAAAAAAATTAATCTTATGATGCAGAAAACATTCAGAAACATGAAGAGAGGAGCAGTCCAGCAAGTGCTCCACCTCTAAAGGTACAGCCTGCTACAGTTACATCCATTAGTCTGCGGATGCAGTTTTACAATGAATACATTCCTCTCAGCTACAAATGATTTTTGTCATCGCAGCAATTCAGGAACAACAGTATAGGCAGTAACAGAGGATTATTATCGTGTTTATTCTGGTTTTCTAAGCACTTTAAATCTTTATAAAACATCTATGGCTAGAACTATTTTTTTTGCTGTATATAATAAAGGCAGTAAAAATAAAATAAGCTCTGCACGCCTGCAAATGTGGTTGGAAACTAACAGATTTATACTTTTTTAAAGTTATTTGATCTGCTCTTGGACAATTTGAGAATCCAACCTCACTGTTTCTCAGCATACATTATTCTTGATGCTTTCTAGCGTTGTGTTTGTGTAAAGAGAATACGCTATCCTAGAAACACTGCTCAGAATCACACAGCCTGTCTCAGCTAAGCCTCTAATTCTTACAGGAATTAGTCCGGCTGTGAAGACTCAGGTGTGTCAATAGATCAGCTGAAGGTTTGGATGAATACCTAAACAAAACCAGACACTTCAGAAACCAAAGAGAGGGCTTGCTACAAATTTCAACCCCTGCTACCAGATTTTTATTCAAGATATAAACAGATGAACTATTTGATATTCAAACAGATAAAAAAATTAAAGAAATCTCAAGTCTCTTACCACTTCATTTCACAGTGTTCCACACATCTTCAAAATGTCTTTCATCTACCTATGCACTGTCGCTTTTAACTAATCATCCCCTCACACGAGTCTATAAAGGTAAGCTGATGCTGCTAAACCATGATCTTTCGAGATCCCTGGAGCAGAAGAAAAAGCGTTTTTACTAAGTACGGCTGGTATTTACGTATCGCAAACGCGCCTTGCGTTTGCTGGAGTGCCGAGGCGGCGCGACAAGTCAGCAGACCCCTTCGCTGTGCCTCGGGAGGGAAGGCGGGAAGGC